AACCATATGATCCAGCAATCCCACTCCTGGACATATATCCAGAGAAAACTCTAATTCGAAAAGATACATGCACCCCAATGTTCATAGCAGCACTATTTACAATAGGCAAGACACGGAAGCAACTTAAATATCCATTGACAGTTGAATGGATAAAGAGGATGTAGTATATATACACAGTGGAATACTACTCAGCCATAAAAGTGAATGAAATAATGTCATTTGTAGCAACATGGATGGACCTAGAGATTATCATATTAAGTGAAGTAAGTCAGAAAGAGAAAGACAAATACCATATGACATCACTTATATGTGGAACTAAAATATGATGCAAATGAACTTATTTATGAAACAGAAACAGACTCAAAGACATAGAAAACAAGCTTATGGTTACCAAAGAGGAAAGGGGGGTGTGGGAGGCATAAATTAGGAGTTTGGGATTAGCAGATACAAACTACTATATGTAAAATAGATAAGCAACAAGGTCCTATTATATAGCACCAGGAAATATATTCAATATCCTGTGATAAACCATAATAGAAAAGAATATGGACAGAGAATATATATGTATAACTGAATCACTTTGCTGTACACCAGAAACTAACACAACATTGTAAATCAACTATTCTTCAATTTGAAAAAAGAAAAATGTCTACAAATATGTTTTTTTTTTTTTGCTATACACGAGCCTCTCACTGTTGTGGCCTCTCCCGGACGCGCAGGCTCAGTGGCCGTGGCTCACGGGCCCAGCCGCTCCACAGCATGTGGGATCTTCCCAGACCGGGGCATGAACCCGTGTCCCCTGCATTGGCAGGCAGACTCTCAACCACTGAGCCACCAGGGAAGCCCAACAAATATGTTTTTAACCCATATATTTACCATGTCTGGAATAAGTTCCTTTCAGCATAAAAATGATGTGTTTCTTGTGAGGCAGAGTGAATAGCAATGAATTTTCTTGGGCTTTGTTTATTTGGAAAATATTTTTTTCTTCACTATTGAATGATAGCATTGCTAGACACAGAATTCTTGGCTGATAGCTTTTTTCTTTCAGGGATTTGAATGTCATTTCACTGCTTTCTGTCCTCCCTTGTGTCAGATGAGAAGTTAGCCCTGAATTGTATTGACAGTCCCGTGTATGTAATGAATCGCTTTTCTCTTGCTGCTTTCAAAGTTTTCTCTATGTTTTTGGCTTTTAACAGTTTGAAAATGATGTGGATCTTTTTTGTATTTATTCTGCGTAAATTGAGCTTCTTGGTTGTGTAGATTTTTTTAAATCAGTCTGAGAAGTTTTCAGCCATTATTTCTTTGAATTTCATATTTTCATTACCCAAGTTTCTTTTTTAAAATAATTAATTAATTAATTTTTGGCTGTGCTGGGTCTTCGTTGCTGTGCACAGGCTTTCTCCAGTTGTGGCGAGTAGGGGCTACTCTTTGTTGAGGTGCGCGGGCTTCTCATTGTGGTGGCTTCTCTTGTTGCAGAGCATGGACTCTAGGCACGCGGGCTTCAGTAGCAGGCTTCAGTGCGTGGGCTCAGTAGTTGTGGCTCGTGGGCTCTAGAGCTCAGGCTCAGTAGTTGTGGCACACGGGCTTAGTTGCTCCATGGCATGTGGGATCTTCCCAGACCAGGGCTTGAACCTGTGTCACCTGCATTAGCAGGCAGATTCTTAACCACTGCTCCACCAAGGAAGTCCCATTATGTGAGTTTCTGAGACCTGTTCAATTTTCTTCCTTTTTTCTCTTTGTTCTTTACACTGTATAATTTCAATTAATATTCCTTCAAGTTCATTGATTCTTCTGCCATCTTGTTTCTGCTGTTGAGTCTCTGGGGTGAATTTTTCATTTTAGTTATTGTACTTTTCAACTCCAGAATTTTCATTTGGTTCTTTTTTATACTGTCTGATTCCTCCTTGAAAATTGCTATGTATGCATGTATTGTTGTTATACTTTTCATGTTCTTCAAATATGATTACCTTTATTTCTTTGAACATACATATAATAGCTATGTTGAAATCTTTGCTATATCCAATATCTAAGTTCACTCAGAGACAATTTTATTTGACTGCCTTTTTTCTTCAGTGTAGGTTAATACTTCACTATTTATTTGAATATCTCTTTTTGTTTTTGCTGAATATTGGACATTATTTGTTTATTTTTTTATTTTTGGCTGCGTTGAGTCTTTGTTGCTGCGCATGGGCTTTCTCTAGTTGTTGCGAGTGGGAGCTACTCTTCGTTGAGGTGCGTGGGCTTCTCATTGTGCTGCCTTCTTTTGTTGCAGAGCACGGGCTCTAGGCGCGCGGCCTTCAGTAGTTGTGGTGCATGGGCTTAGTTGCTCCGCGCCATGTGGGATCTTCCCGGACCGGGGCTCAAACCCATGTCCCCTCCATTGGCAGGCAGATTCTTAACCACTGCACCACCAGGGAAGCCCTGGACATTTTAGATAACCTATTTTGTGGGAACTCTAGATTTGGATTTTCCCTACTGAGAGTGGCTGCGGTTACTTTTGTTTTTTGTTTGTTTGTTTGTTTATTAACTAGCTTAGACTAAATCTATGAACTTTATCTCTCCTCTGGTATGCAGCCACTAATGTCTCTATTCAGTTTTTTGTTGAATATTCTTGTGTTTGTATGTGATCTTGGCTTTATAGGGGTTGCCCCTATATCTGTGTAGGTTAAAGATCAAACAGTTGTTAAACACAGGTGCCTAACTACCTAGATCCGGTTAGCTTCTCTCCTCTGCTGATGGCCCTGTAATTGTGTGTGGAGGGGCACACAGTCATTTAAAGATCAGGCCATTTCCAAGTCCTTGTGGCCCTTTCCCATCTCCTATCTGTATCTTCTGTCTGCATCTCCACAACCTCAGAGTGGCCAGGAGGTTGCTGGCTTGGGCTCTCTTCTGTCTCTGCTGGTTTATTCACACAGCCTCAGCCAAGGAAATGATTGTCCGACCACAACACAGCTTCAGGCTATTAAAGTCTTTGGTCTTCCCCACTTGCCCACCTCAGAGACCATCACTTCCACTGACAGTGTTGCTGGGCATATGGTTCACCGCTGTAAATCAAAGGAGCCCTCTTCAACATCAGCAGAGAAACTGCCAGTCCTCACAGCGTGCCCCACCCTTGCAGAATCTTCACATTGACTGAGCTGGGAGAGGAAGCGGTGCAGCCCCAGGCCAGAATACCACAGCTTCTTGCTGTTCTTACCCAAAGTTCAGCAGTTTTTAAAAGAAACACTTTTCAGATTGTTTTGTGCCTTTGGTCAATTTCCAAAGTGCTGAAATGATTGTTGTTGTTGTTGTTAAAATCAATTTAATCCAGCTTTAAAGCTGCTTTTTATTTTTTAAAAATTTTTATTGGAATATAGTTGCTTTACAACATTGTGTTAGTTTCTACTGTGCAGCAAAGTGAATCAGCTATAGGTATACATATATCCCCTCTTTTTTGGATTTCCTTCCCGTTTAGGTCACCACGGAGCATTGAGTAGAGTTCCCAGTGCTATAGTAGGTTTTCATTATAAAGTCGCTTTTTAAAGGGAGGATTTTGCCAGTCTCCTCTCTCAGCCATAGCCAAAAGTCCTGCTCTTCCCCTTCACTCCTTTTTTTGAACATCTCTTTTCTCTCACGATTAAGCACTCATCTGCCTTTCTGAACACTGGCTCCTTCTTTGGTTCTTTCACTAACCCCTTTTTCTATTATTGAAATGTGGGCAGAATACAAGGTTTTTGCCCTTCATTGTCTTCTTTCTCTCCACACTCTCAGTGATGTCATAGTTTCCCAAGCCTTTAACCATCATGTCATACAGATGCTTATATGGTCATTATTTCTAGTGTATTCCTCTACCCCTGAACTCCAGTTACAAAATGCTGAGTGCTGGCCACACAATTCTGTATGAACATCTTGTTGTCAATACAAAGTCAACATGTTCCATTCCTGTCTTTAGCTTACAAACATTTTTTCCACTTGACCTTTTGTGCCTTGCATAGAGTAGCTTGTGGTTATGTGATTGGATTTATCACATAGCACCAATATTCTTCTATTCACCAGAATTTGACCACTTGGCTTTATCTTTGATTTGTCACTTTTCCTCATTCTCTTTATGTGTTCATTTGCCTGTTAGATAATATTTTCAAGGGACTTAGCATGGAGCTTGTTGTATAGTAAGTGCTCACTACACGATGGTGGTCATTATCATTGTTTCATCAAATACTAAAACTATCTCAGCAATGTCTGTCTTCTCCACGTTATGAGGAAAGGATGGAGTTGTGAAAGGAATGGTAGATTGAGAATCAACTAATCTAGTTTAGGATTCTAGTTTGCCACTTAGAGCCACTTGACCTTAGAAAATTCTCCTAACTTTTCTGAGCCAGTTTCTTCATGTAAAAATTTGGGGATCAGTAATATTTTCCTGGAGATATATACGTGTGTGTATAGATATATATACACCATAGGCTTGCTGGAGAAAATCAAATGCAATAACTAAACTTATAATATTAATATCTTACACTTTATTAAGGAAAGCCATTAACCCTCAGCTTCCATGCTAATTTCAGGCTCTTTTTACTTTTCTCCTGGTCTACAATAACTTCCAAACTAGTTTCCCGACATCTGCCTAAAGCCACATTGCTGTAGGTTAATCTTAATAGCTGTCATATCTAATGATATCACTCCCCTGCATGAAAACCTGCATTAGATGAAGTAAATCTAAACCCAGCTTGACATTATTGCCCCAGATTACATTTTCTTCCTTATCCCCTATTTCCCTATAAATATCTTATTTCCGAGCAGAACTCAACTGCCCCCTTTCACTAAACATGCTTCATGCCCCACTGTCTTGGGCCTGTTCTCCAAGGTCCCTCTTCCCGCACTTAACACCTGGTATTCCTCATTTCCCTGCCCAAAGCCTGACCTCACCTGAGTTTATGTGTAAATATTCCATTCTCTATGAAGCTTTTAGTTTCTTGTTTGCTTTGAATGCAAACATCATGTCTTAATACAACATTTTTTACCCTGCAGTGCCCTGATCATGGTCATCAATAAATATAGTAAGAGGGTTTCTTCTTTGTTTAATATGAACAGGAACACACCTTATTTTTCAAGTAATCTTTTTTCTCTCCTTCCATGTTGACAGCTTACTGAAAGCATGTTCTATAGACTCAGTTTTGCCCTAAGCAAAGGAGATCTGTTTAGAGTTTGGTTTCTAATGGAAAAGAATGCCATGACCTAATGAAAAATTAAAATTTTCTCATCTTGTCACTCTTCTACATGTGGAGTCTTTTAAGTTAAAAGGAAATGACATTTATGGTAGCCTTATTATGAAATAGTTTCTGCTGAGTCCAGAGTCATTTAATGCAGTGTTACTTAGTGAACCTCATTAAATAGATTCTTCTTTTGAAAATCTCTGGAGTATGATTTAATAATGTGACCTGACAAACCCTTGTAGTGACTAATTGAAGTAGATGCCATCAATCTGGAAATTTCTTGCTTAAATTCCGCTTGATTTTTCTTTCTGTTCTTAACACTAGATTGGTGGTCCTCAAACTTTAATGGAAGAACTGCAGGCATTTTTATGCATATGCCCAGGCTGTGGCCTCAGAATTGTGGTTTCATAGATTGCGATGGGGTTCAGAATTTCCATTTTTAATAGCATCCCAGGTATATCTAATGCAGGTGATGCACAGACCACACTTTGCAGTGAAATGCTGCCCTTAATGAAAATTCTATGTTACGTTCAACTTTTTTAGACTGGCTAACCTAATTTTTAAATCTTTTTTTAAAAACCTTTCTCATTACAGAAACAGAAGATCTGTGGGAGCTTGACTTTGCAGCATCACATGCTAGAACCTGTTCAGCGGATTCCCCGGTATGAGATGCTCCTTAAGGACTACCTAAGGAAATTGCCCCCTGGTTCTCCGGACTGGAATGATGCTAAAAGTAAATACTTCCCCCACCCCGGCCCCGGCCCTGCTTTCCATTTTGGATAATTTAGTGGCCAAGTAGGCTTGTGATTTCAAAGTGAGATAGGTCTGATAGCCACTTTAGTAAAATATTGGTGCCAGAAAATAACCTCACTGGAAATTGTCATCAGCACGTCAATTAGGCAAGCACTTTTGAGCCCAAATCATAGGCTTGGAGCAATGCAAATCACATTTCTCATGCTGGTTTCACGTTAATCATTAACTCTGAAATATAAAACTGTAGTCTTAGAGACATCTGGAATAGCAATACACAGTTACCTTCTCACAGGAAGAATACAACCATTCAGAATTACTAGTGCTGCTGGTTAATTAGGTAGGTTGATACATACCAAGAAAACTAAGATGATATTTACTATGTAAAAATAGCCTAAGCGGGGACTTGGGGCTTGGAAAAAAAAAAAAAAATAGCCTAAGCAAAGTGATATCTCTCTACCTTTCTCTACTCTAAGACAGAAGAGGCAGTGGTGCTGTTTAGTGTCAGTTAACATTTTCCCTGAGAAAACTTTATTCCTGCTCTACTCCTGTACTACATTTTTTTTTTATGAAAAAATAAAAAATCTTTTATTTTTTCATTAGATCATAATGGAAGACTTTTTAGGGCTTAAGAGTTTCAATAAGAATTTTGTTTTCTTGTGTACTTAAAAAAAAATCAGTTAACTGTGAAGAGAAAATTTAACTTAGATTAGTAATCAACATGTACAAACAATACTGGTGTACAATCTTAAAGCATTGCTACTTTCTCTAATAATTTTTTGTCTGCTGTTATAAGTGAACCTTGTTCAGAGATGAACACAAAACACAATGTTTGGTCTTATAGACTGGGTCTTTTTCTGAACATAGGCTATCTGTGATGTTTCTCCCACCATCCAAGAAGTTCCTGACCACAGGAACTTCTCATCTCCCCTTTCTTCCTCTAAAGTTTAGAATTATCCTAACTTGTCTTCTTCCACTTTCCACTTCATCCCCACTTTCCACTCACCTGGCCTGAGTGCTTGGTTTTAGTAGTGGTAGGATTGGAGGTTGGATCACGATTGCTACTTCTCAAACTAGTCTCTTGGGTGGTGGCCCCAGCCCATCTTAATTTGTCGCCCTCTACCTTGGATCCTATGTGGAATGCAAAGAATTGCCAAAATCAGGATAGTTCTCTAAAATATAAATAACAATTCTGCTTCTTCTATACTCAGAAGACTTTGACTCCTGCTAAGGTAGCTATGTCAAAAAGCAGAGAGTCAGCAACGTAATAGGGTATTTTATTACTCTTTTTGGTTTCCCATTACTACTTACACTAAAATTGTAAGGAAATCACAGAAGTACTTTTAGAGACCTAAAAGTAGAGGGGAAAGCAAAAAAAGTGCATTTTGTTCAGCAGTAGAACGAAGAAGACAGAAAAGTTGGTTCAGAATAATGAGGTTGTTGTGGTAACAGAATTAACCCAACCAGTAGTCATAAGATAGGAAAGAAAGGAAGAGAGCAAGACGTGATGTAGGATTGAGAACATTCCCTCAGGTTAATCCAGCAGGAAGCCTTAGCTTCCACATCTCTTCACCAGTAGTCCCGAAGCTCCTACCTTGCCCATATCAGAGTTCCCATTCCCATCTCTCGCTACCACCTGCCCTAGCAACAAAACCCTCCATCAACATTGGCATCAGAAAATTCCCTTTCACCTAGACTAGAAATGTGAGTGTGTTTTCGCAGAGAAAACTGATTATGCTTGGTGGTTAATTTGCTTATAAAACTAGTGAAATACTACGGCTGAAATGTAGAAATTTGAGTCAGAAGACTTTGGTTCTAATGTAGCCCTTCAGTATCATAATTTGTGACCTTAGCCAAGTCACATCACTCTCTACTTCTTTCATCTGCCAAATGAAGCTAATATACTTTCCATTCAAGGTTGCATAAGAATGAATTGACCTAATATATATGAAAGCCCCTGACAAAGTTCCTTGTACCAAGCTAGTGTCAGGGTGTTTGTTATTTTGAAGGTCCCTTATCGATTAAAGGTACCTGAGAGCCTACTCACTGTATATGACTTTTAATGAGGAGATACCCTTCAAGTTCCAAATAATCTGCTTACAAATGAACTTTTGAAAGTATCCAACTTATAAATGCAAATTGCCCCCTGCTTTTATCGTGTATCTTCGGTCTCAGATTTCTTCTTATTGTACTGTATATTATTCAGCTATTTAGTAACATAGTAAGGACAAAATGTATTTACTTTTCTTTTTTTCCATTTAGAATCACTTGAAATTATATCTACAGCAGCAAGTCATTCTAATAGTGCAATAAGAAAAATGGTAAGTGGTTTCCAGAGGAAATGGGAATATTCTAGTTAGATAATTGCCAATAATATAGTCTGATATTATCTACAGGTTTGGACCCAAATGAATTGATACAAGTGAACAAAAAAGATTGTTTATAAAATGTTTAGTGTTATCCCTCTTCTCTCAGGTTTTAGTTTGATCATAACTGACATACTTTATACCAAAATTTATGCTTAGTTCCAATCCCTTCTGAATTATGTATATTTTAGCTAAGGTCATTGATTAAAGGAACTAAGGTGAAACCTCCTTATATGTGATCTTGCTGTGTTTTGTTTTAATTTCCTAGGAGAACCTAAAGAAACTCTTAGAGATTTATGAAATGTTAGGAGAAGAAGAAGACATTGTAAATCCTTCAAATGAACTAATAAAAGAAGGACAGATCCTCAAACTAGCTGCTCGGAACACATCGGCACAAGAACGCTACCTTTTCTTAGTGAGTTTTGTAGTATGAGAAAGTCACATAAGAATAACCCATAAACATTGTTATATGCATCTTGGAAAAGTAGGATGCTTGCTTGCTCTCACCAGAACAATTATATCTAACCTGGTTTAGTCAGTACTGTCAGGATTCCACATCAGGGAATGTCCTTAGTAACTGAAACTTGTTCTTTCAAGGACACAACTCTTTTTTTGAAGTATTTTTCTATAATTTTTCTGTGTACTTACCATGTATCATTTACTCAGTAACTCGTAGTGACGATGATTTAACCTTTCCATGATGATCGTAGCCATCAGTGTATATGTGGGGACCACTATTTTTAATTCTTCTAGTTGAAGAAATATATAGACAAAGTTGTAAAACTTGTGCCTCAAATATCTATGTAAAAGTACATGAGTTTGCTACATAGTTCCTTTTCACTGCAATCAATCTCCATCCCTTCCTTAACTTCAGGGAAATGACATTTAGTCTAGAACTTATCGAAAATATAGGAGCTCTCCCTGGGGCATCCAGGCCATTATATTTTAGTCTCTGTTAATTCCAGTTCCTTTCTATATCTAGTGATATGATAATAATCATAATAGCTAACAATGAGTAACAATAAGCTAACATTGAGTAATAGCTCAGTAAATGTTAGCTGTTACTATGATTGTTATTATAGGCAAAGAAACAGACACATTGGTAAAGAGGCTGCCCGGTAACTGGCACATGACACATTCTCAGGATGTTATTCACATCTGACTTTTCTGCTGCAAGGCAGTCATCTCACTAGCCTTAGTATGAGTTGTTGGGGGCTTAGAGGTTTCTTTTGTCTGGTTACAGCTTCCTTTGAAAGGAAGATTTACAGGAACTAATTGTCATGCAGAAGGGTATTCAGTATCTCTCTTGAAAGCGTTTCTACTTCAAGTTTGTATAACTCAAGAAAATTGAAAACATGTCCACACAAAATTTATACATGAATGTTCATAGCAAAAGTATTCATTATAGCCAAAAAGTGGAAACAAAGTAAATGTCCATCAATTGATGAATGGATAAACAAAATGTGGTATAACCATGCACTGGAATATTATACGGCAGTAAAAAGGAATAAAATACTGATACATGCTACGTGGATGAACTTTGAAAACGTTGTGTAAAGTGAAAGAAGCCATTCGCAAAAAGCCACACTGTGTGATATGATTCCATTTATATGAAATGTCTAGAATAGGCAAATACATAGAGGCAGGAAGTCAGTAGTGGTAGCCTAGGGCTGGTGGGGAGGAGGAAATGGATACAGGATTTCCATTTAGAGTCAGGAAATGTTCTAAAATTAGATAGTAGTGATGGCTGCACAATTTACAACTATATAAAAACCATGAATTATACATTTTAAAAGGGTATATGAATTATATCTCAATAACTTAAAAAATTTATAGATATTTTACAAATTAACTATAAAAAAATCTTCATTGGAGCTCAACAGAAGAACTTCACCTTTCAGAAGCTTTACAGAGACCTAAATGTAAATCAGGGACATGTGATGTCATGTTAGGGTCCAGAGAGCTGTTTATTTTGAAATGTAGGTTTTGTTATTCAAATATGGTGAGGCCAACATATCAGGAGGTGATTGCCATTGAAAAGATAGTTATACTCGCAGATTCCAAAAAGAGGGGGCATGCCACACCATGGAAGAGCTACATGAGAAAGCACCAGAGTTGGTCAGAAGGCAGAGAAAGCAAGCAGCAAATGTGGGCAAGAACCTGTACTGTGGTTTCTGCGAGAAGGAATAGGCAAGGCAGAGGAAACCAGCTTAGAATTTGCTAGTTTAAATAATTTCATCAGGCTCTGGCACACAGGGACTGTTGACTGGTACCTAGCCTTAGGGTTCTTACGGAAGGGGAATACTGACTCGGAGTGTAAGCACTCAATAGAGGAGGTGCTTGGGGTGTGAGTTCTGGATCTGTTAGTTTCCGTATGAAAGTCATGCTTGCAGGTGAGTCACTCACTGTCTTCAAAGAATTGAGTAGTCCTGAGAGGGGGCAGTCCTCCAATGTCAGCAAGGCCCCAAGATGTCAAAGCATCAAAAATCCAGATTAAAAAGACATGCTTAATATACTGTTCTGGGCAAAAGGCCTGGGAGTCAGTGTCTTCCCTTTGTCTTTACCTGTAGGTGCTTAGGTAATTTTCCTTTCCCCTCTTCAACATCAGTGTCACAGTTTCTGTAGTTAAACTTTCAGCTCTGTGTCTAACCAATGGCCTTGGTTTAATTTTCACATTTGAGAATTATTCTGGAAATAGTTTTGGATTGAATACCTTAATTCAGAGCCAAATTAAACAGCTATTTGGAGGACAGATGGCAAAGAGCCTTGGGGGAATACAACAGTAATGACTTAGAGAAAAGTACCCATCTTGTTCCAGTTATTATAAGCTATCAAACATATCATGTCATTGCCTTCCAGGAGAATGGAGTCATACAGCAGAAACTTTAGGAAAGCCTTATTCATCTTTTGAAGACCATCTTAGAAGCAGTTCTTGTAGTGTTCATTCCTTCAGTCCTTCCCCTCTAGTACTGTACTTGTCACAGAATCTCTCCTCTCCCCAGCACACATTTATTCCCATGGAGCATCTTTATTTTCTTATATGTAGAAACTTCAGAAGTACCTTTTATTTTTTCTCCTTTCTCTCTAGAAGGAAAATGAGTGCTAGTTTTCTGTTTCCTATTCTGGGGATATTACACGTGTAAATCTGAAAAACCAAGTTATATTTAGAATTTGATTTCAGCTTTCAAATGATCATCATGTGTTTGCATATTTACTTGCCTCCACATCATGCTTTTTATTTTATGTAGGGTACTCTGTTGAGTAAGTAAATAACCACACCTGACATCTGAAAGTTAAAAAAAAAAAATCACTGAATTATCCCATAGAATGATAGGAGGTTTTATTCCTGGCTCTTTGGAGTTCTAGTCCTTATTTCCTTATACCTTTTGACAGAGTTATATATATATTTTTCTCTTGACTTATTTAAACTTTGAATACAGGCTGGGCACTGGAAATTTCCTCCAACAATGTATTTTTACCTTCTAAAACAAACTTTGATGAACTGTCACTTGTGAGACATGAAATTGAATTATTTCAATCAAATATATTTTAAAGAGACTTGAAATAACTAGTCGAGGAACCCTGGAGATCAAGAAGCAGGAACCTCCCTACACTTTTAATAAAGTTGAGACTTTCTTCTAGGTTTCGGCACAGCCTAGCACTTCTAGAGCTTGCCAGCCAGAGACTGCTTTGTTAGTAACTACTTCCGAGCAGCGGGCATGGAATAAAAGGAGTTTCTTTCACTGAAAAGGAAAGTCAGTCTACTTGGTGCTACAGTTGTTATAACTCCCTCTTTTAGCACCAGCACAACCCAGAGAAGGTGATGGTGGCTTTTGCCACAGGAGCCAGGTTCACCGAGGGAACAGGACTAGCTTTACGTATATGGCATCTTCTTTGTAAGCATTATCACCTTCACCTCTAAGTAGAAGAAAACGGGTATTTATTGGCTAGTTCTGTCCATTTTGGTGGCACTTTGCAACTCCTGCAGTACCATTCAGACATGGCCAAATCCCTTCCTGAGAAGGCCTTATAGAAGAGAGAAAGAAATACTAACATGAACAGTTAGCAAGCTGTTGCCTTAATCAAGCTGGGATGGTGATGAGAACCTTTAAGAGTATTTTCAGATCTTTAAATTCTGTGTACTACAATGAGGCTGTGATTGCCATACTTAGAATACAGTGGACAATTAATGATAAAGCATTATGTTCCCTTCTAGAAATGTAAATGTGAAATGTGGTGCTCAGATATATATGATAAAAATGTATTGGGCTTCCCTGGTGGTGCAGTGGTTGAGAGTCCGCCTGCCGATGCAAGGGACACGGGTTCGTGCCCCAGTCCGGGAAGATCCCACATGCTGTGGAGCGGCTGGGCCCGTGAGCCATGGCCACTGAGCCTGTGCGTCCGGAGCCTGTGCTCTGCAACGGGAGAGGCCACAACAGTGAGAGGCCCGCATACCGCAAAAAAAAAATATATATATATATATATATATATATTTAGTGCCCTTTTATTTCTACATTATCCAGTGTGGAAATGAAATTTATGATGCTGGTTATAGGAAGTTGCAAAATAATGTATGAGGAACAAACTGGTAAAAAATTTGCTTTCAGAATGAGTACAGTGGACATTGTCACATAAACATGTTGAAATGTTTTAAATATCCATCAACATTTCTTTCATGGTTGGAGCTAAAAAGAGGACCTGACAAAACAGGACATTATTCCTCATTTAATCCTCTCAACAACCTGTGACTTTTACAGATAATAATCCTGAGACATGAAAGGTTACATAAGTGTTTTAAGTTCCCAGTTGCTTTTGCCTTACAAAAATATATTTAAGCCTAGAAACAGTGTTAGAAACAATAAATATGAAGTAGAAAGATAAATATGGACCTTCTTTAGGAATCTGCCTACAAATTAACCCCCATATTTAGAGTTTCATCCTTTTGCATGTTTTAATACATTTAAAAGTTAATTAAATGCCTTCCCCAAATCATTGCTTGGTACTGATTAGCAGGAGCTGTTCATTGTTTTGTTTTGTTTTGTCTTGTTATAAATTTACTTATTTTTTATTTATTTATTTTGGGCTGCGTTGGGCCTTTGTTGCTGCGCACGGGCTTTCTCTAGTTGCATTGAGCAGGGGCTGCTCTTCGTTGTGGTGTACACGCTTCTCACTGCGGTAGCTTCTCTTGTTGCAAGCGTGGGCTCTAGCCATGCGGGCTTCACTAGACAGGCTCTAGAGCTCAGGCTCAGTAGTTGTGGCGCACATGCCCAGTTGCTCTGCGGCATGTGAGATCTTCCTGGACCAGGGCTTGAACCTGTGTCCCCTGCGTTGGCAGGCAGATTCTTAAGCACTGCACCACCAGGGAAGTCCAGGAGCTGTTCATGGTTGACTAGAAATGAGGCACTAATTTGATTCAGTTTCAAAATAAGGTTCTAAATAAAGACTTTTTGCTAAAATAAATGACTTTTCTGTTAATTCGTACATCATGAATTCTTAAGCAAGATGTGGGGCAGGGGCTTCCCTGGTGGTGCAGTGGTTGAGAGTCCGCCTGCCGATGCAGGGGACATTGGTTCGTGCCCCGGTCCAGGAAGATCCCACATGCCGCGGAGCGGCTAGGCCTGTGAGCCACGGCCGCTGAGCCTGTGTGTCCGGAGCCTGTGCTCCGCAACGGGAGAGGGCACAACAGTGAGAGGCCCGCGTACCGCAAAAAATTTGCTTACGTTTTTAAACAACATTAAACACATTGGTAAAAATAATTGCTACATATTAATCTTTTCCTCTAACAGCTGTTGTAGACTTGTTGCCTGACACAACAGTTAGAAATTTTATTGTCTAAGGGCTTCAACTTACATGGTTGAGAACTTCAGTTTCTGGTATATAGTGGTCCTTAATAAATTGTTGCTGAGCTTAATTTCCTTAACTAATTTCCTTACTAATACAAAATGATGATTGGTTTACTTAAATATTAATAAAATATTTATGAACCAGCACAGGGAGGAAATATATGTTACAAATTTTAAAATATGACAATTTTGATATAAGCATAAAAGCTCTCTGGTATTTAAGTAATTTTTCTCACATAGAAAGTATGGTATTCCCTGGAATTTTTGTCTAGGGCTACTTTCAATATTGGTCACTTTCCTCTATCTTCTTTGTTTTCCTTTTTTTTGACGTGTTCTGCCTTCTTGCAGTTCAACAACATGTTGCTGTACTGCGTGCCAAGATTCAGCTTGGTGGGCTCTAAATTCACAGTTCGAACCAGGGTTGGCATTGATGGAATGAAAATTGTAGAGACTCACAATGAGGAATATCCACACACTTTCCAGGTATCTGGGAAAGAGAGAACACTGGAACTGCAAGCCAGGTAAGAGAACCATTCCTATCTCACAACTTTACAAAAGAATCAGAATAAATCATAGGACAAAATAATTCTGAGGATCTATCCCATGTCTGGTTGGACATAAATGGAAAGAGGTAAGCTCTTGAAAGTCAAGAATTATGTCTTCCCTTTTGGTTCCTCTGTAGTGCCTAGGATAGTGGTTTTTCAGACAGTAAGCATTCAGTAAATTAAAGTGACTGAATTGTTGCATTCAAGCCAAAGTTTTGAGTCTTCTAGGAAAAAGTTCTCTAACCTTTTTTCCGCCATCCTTCCTTTTGGTCCACAAATGTTTATTGATGTTTATTATTTCATGATAAATATTGAAGCTTTAACTATCTGTCCTTCAGAGACTCTGCATTTATAGGACTTAATGGCACTTTGATGGAGAGAATGATTTTGGAAATCAGTCATTTTGGAGGCATTTTGGAAAAGATGATTCTCTTGCCACAGTTGAGGATACATGAAGGGGGCTATTTGGGGCCCTAGTAGCCTCTAGCAACCAGGACTTCTGGAAGGGGTGGCTCTTCTTATATGTTTATTGAGTGGGAGAGAAAGAGCTGGAGGCCTAGCATCCATCCTCCTAGCATAACCCTGTTTGGAAAGAAAAAAACGAAACAAAACATGAGAACCACTGTAGTAGATCACAGCTACCTCATGCGTGAACCTCTAGAAGACAGAGTGCTGTCAGGTTTTAAAATATCTGCTTTAGGAAGCTGTCATCCATTTATCCTATTTAAAAAAAAAAAACCTAGCATGGTGAAAATTGAGATACACCAAAAGTTCACAGATCAGAGGTTAACTACTGATCCCAGCTCTGATGGTTTTCATACCCTAGAATCCATGGAGAATCAGAGAGCCCTTCTGTTCCTTTCTATTCCTTTGCACCAATAGCATGTGGTTCTGGCTGCTTAGGTGAACTCATCCTGGATATTTGTGTTTAGTAACTATGTACGAGCTTAAACTTCACATTTTCAAAAGAGAATATATTATTTTAATAGGAATCTGTACCCAGGGAGCCAGGGAATTGGTGATTATAGATATGGAACATGTGGCAGGTTAGGAAAGTTTGAAGAAATACCTAGCCAGTTCTTTGATTTCCCACAGAAAATATATAATGAACCTGCATTACTTAGGGAGCTGACAGGAGACTGCCCTGAGGATTAGGAGGCAGCATTTCAAGGATGAGTTCAAATGGTGGAGGACTTGGCTTGGATGTTATGGTTTTCCTACTTTATCATGGTGTGATTTGGACCCCAGCCATCAAACCCAAGAGAACAATTTATGTTACTGTACTTGGAAGCCCCTGACCTAAGTCCTCACTCAGTGGTTGACTCCCTGAATGATTGGCCCTGGCCACAGAGAAGACTCATCAGTTGTTCTGATCATCATAGAAGTCTTCATTACAGATGAATGAAGGTTCTGCTGGCTCTGAATATCAGCATAGTTCCAAATCTGCAAACCCGAGAGATGTGTCTGAACAGCAGAAGAGAGATTATCAAGGATTCTTGGGTTGCCTGAGTTGAGACGGACTCCAGCCCCCCTCCATTAGCAGGTTGGGCTGTTTTCGCTTCAGGATGGGGCTGATTCATGAAAATTTTTCTTAAGTACAGGCAGTTATCATTTTGTAGAGTTCCAATATGCACTATTGGATACATTCCAATTAGTACTGAAAACACATTCATTTTTCCTTAAATTTCTTATTCCCCTAATCTCATTGCTTTAGTTGCATTTATGATTATATGATGAATTGAAGATCTGAATGAAGTGTGATTACTTATCTTCTGGTCTATAATGACTCTCTCAAGAATGTAGACAAACACTGAAATTCCCAGAAAGTCTGAAGGATTACATGGAACCCCAAATTGGGTATATATTTGGTGATATTTAAAGAGAATTCACTTCTGAAGCCAACACAGAAAAAAATGTTCTACTTTTCCTATTAAATAAGTTAGCCTGAAGACTGACCTCTAACACTGTGCTTCCCCTTCCATATTCAAAAGAATATAAACTTTTGAAACAAAATTATTTTATGTAGTTTTTATTCAATGGTTTTCTATTGCTAAATGGATATAAAAATATAGTGATGAGTAAATTTAAAAATCTGCCATGATTGAGAAAGTAAAACAAAAGGCATTAAAGACTTGTCAAGTTACTTTGCATTTAAAAGGCTAAAAGCAGCTAGCAAATAACTATGCTTCCAGAGCAATAGAGCTGATTTTGTGGGGGTGGGGCATAGCATTAGGGAGAAACCTTTTTTGAGGGGCAAGATTAAAGCCCCTGCCCCCACCAAGGTTCTTGGTTCAGGATCCCCAGGTGACATATAAGCAGAATCTTACATTTGATATGCACGGATTCCAGCAGTATTCCTGGCACATCATGATACTCAGTTTTTGTGAGAAAGATGGATGGTGTCACATGGATGGTATAATCACAGACTTATACATATGTGATACCTGTGGGACTGTGGCATGTGACATTCAGGCTGGGACAGGGACTCAGACTTAGCCCTAGCCTACCAAATACATGCAAACAAATAGAGCCCACTCTTCACAATCCCTCAGTTTGGAGATCTTACTGAGTCTAAAGTCTACTAAAAAGGAAATTTTTTCCCAACAGAAAATTATTAAATACTGGGGTTCATTAATCTGTGAAACCTCCTTCCTACAGGCATTTAAATCTTCGTTGTGTTTTATCTGTAATGAATTAGGTATGGTATTGCCTGAAGCCTAGCAAAATAGAATTAAATTGTTTACCAAAGGAAATGTTACATAGCTCCCTAAGACTTTACACAGATAATTTATAGTCTCAAGGATAATTGCAATCTTTTCTAAGATGGGTTGTGACTAGCAGCCTTTCAAAGCCTCATGTGTTTTCATAAAGGTGAATTGGAAGACTAGGCCTGTATCTAGTATAGTGCTAGATCTACAGATACCTGATATATACAACTAGATGATGGTGGTTAAACTAACAGAAGCCAAACTTAGCTCTCTCCATCAAAAGTTATGTGTTCCAAAGTAAGTGGATGGTATAAAGCTATGTTTATGAATTCATTTGTTCAATTGCCAGAGATTCTGTTTAATTTTTATTATAACTCCTTCTTGGACATCGCTGAATTTTCCAGAAAGTTGGACTAACATAAATACAGTTGTATGCACCAGGTATAACTCATTAATGTTCTCTTTATTCACTTTAATTTTTCGTTGTTGTTTGTTTTAGTTCTGAGCAAGACAAAGAAGAATGGATCAAGGTAAACCTGATTTCTATTTTCATTTTTGTTTCGTGGTAACCTCTGTATGTGTACCCAGATGTGCACATATTGTTGTATTATGCACATATTGTAGTCATCAGAATAAGGTCATTTAATTTTTAAGGTGATTTCCATCCTAGATATTTATTTAATAAAGTGTTTTTATTAATTTGCATGGGATACTTTAATATCTGCTTTGAATTTCATGTATATTTTAGGCACTTCAAGAGACTATTGATGCTTTCCATCAGAGGCATGAAACCTTCAGAAATGCAATTGCCAAGGATAATGACATTCATTCAGAGGTTTCTGTAAGTTGAATTAAATTCTTTAAGTTCTTTTCTCTTTGCAGTTGCAGAAGATCTATCTAGTTATTTTGCTACCCAGTCTTTTCCCTTTGCATTGCCAAAACTGGCTATTTGGACAGGATCACATTTCTTCTTAGATGAATACAATAGAGTGCCTTTTCATGCTGCTTAAATGTCTTTGAACCTTTTTTTTTTTCCTCTCTTTTTCTGGATCTTGAGTTTCAGAACATGGTTATGAGCAATGTTGTTAAAATTCTTTTTAAAATAAATAAATGAATGAACGGATGGATGGATGGATGGAAATGACAGTTTTTGCCATTAAAATGGAATCTCTTTCCTTTTTAGACTGCTGAGCTAGGAAAAAGAGCCCCAAGATGGATCCGAGATAATGAAGTTACAATGTGTATGAAATGCAAGGAGCCTTTTAATGCCCTGACGAGGAGAAGGCATCATTGTCGAGCATGTGGACATGTATGTGAGCTTTCTTGGTCATTAAGATTATGAGTCACTATATAAGTGTTGTAAAATCATTAACTTGGAAAAAAACAAAGAAATCATTCAATAAATCACTTAGTTGATAAACTTTTGTTGGTGATAACTTTATGCAAAGCACTGTGCTGGGTCCTGGAGAAAAACTGGTAAGCAAAATGGTAGCCAGCTTCACAGAGTTCACATTCTAATGGAGAAAACAGACCAAATTAACAGACAAGCATTTCAAATGACTATAAATGCAATAAGAAATCAAGAAGTTAAAACGGGGAATAACGGTAATGGAAGAGGATTTGGAACCAATTTTAGTTAGAAAAATGAAGACCTATCTGAGGCGTTTGATATTTAAGCTGATGCCTAAAAGGTGAGAAAGAGCTAACCATAAGAAAGAAGGCAGGGGCTTCCCTGGTGGCGCAGTGGTTGGGGGTCCACCTGCTGATGCAGGGGACATGGGTTCATGGCCCGGTCTGGGAGGATCCCGCATGCCGAGGAGCAGCTGGGCCCGTGAGCCATGGCCGCTGAGCCTGCGCATCCGGAGCCTGTGCTCCACGACGGGAGGGGCCACAACAGTGAGAGGCCCGCGTACCGCAAAAAAAAAAAAAAAAAGAAGGCAGGAAGAGCATTCAGGCACTGAGAGTTGTATGTCAAAAGCCCTGAGGTAGGACAGAGCTTCATCTATTCTTTTTAATTTTTAATTTTTCTTTCTTTCTTTCTTTCTTTCTTTCTTTCTTTTCCTTCCTTCCTTCCTTCCCTCCCCCCTCCCCCTGCAGTACGCGGGCTTCTCCCTGTTGTGCCCTCTCCCGTTGCAGAGCACAGGCTCTGGATGTGCAGGCTCAGCAGTCATGGCTCATGAGCCCAGCCACTCTGCAGCATATGGGATCTTCCTGGACCTGGGCACAAACCCGTGTCCCCTGCGTCAGCAGGCAGACTCTCAACCACTGAGCCACCTGGGAAGCCCAGTTTTTTTATTTTTTAAAATAAATTTATTTATTTATTTTTGGCTGCATTGGGTGTTCGTTGCTGAACACAGGCTTTCTATTTATTTGCAGTGAGTGGGGTCTACTCTTCGTTGTGGTGCATGGGCTTGTCGCTGCAGTGGCTTCTCGTTGCAGTGCATGGGTTCTAGGAATGTGGGCTTCAGTAGTTGTGGCACATGGGCTCAGTAGTTGTGGCACATGGGCTCAGTAGTTGTGGCCCATGGGCTCTAGAGCACAGGCTCAGTAGTTGTGGCACACGGGCTTAGTTGTTCTGCGGCATGTGGGATCTTGCAGGACTAGGGCTCAAACCCATATCCCCTGCATTGGCAGGCAGATTCTCAACCACTACGCCACCAGGGAAGCCCTGATCTATTCTTGAGACTGCCAAAAGGTCATGTAGCTGGAGCATAATGAGCAATCTAAGAAATAGAAAGATAAATAATAACCAAAGGAGTCAGTGACTTTGAGAAAATATGAGATGGAACCTATAGCTTAAGTAGAAGTTCAGACTTTTGATGGGGAGAGGGAAACTTCCCTCCATTATAACGGAAAGGATAAAGGGAAAGATGAGTGGAAATGTGGGTGTGTTTTTGATTTGGTGGTGGGAAATGAGGGAATTTAGGTCTGATAATATCTACATATTCATTGAAGTATGAGGAAGGGTCATCATCTGAAAGTGAAGGGGGAAGTAAGAGGGAGGGGGGAGATTTGAGAAAGAGAGCTAAGTATGTAATAGTTGTCTCTGGGCAGGAAAAAGTGAGCCTACCAAAGAAACAAAGATGCCCATTAGAGGTTTATGGTTATAAATTTAAAAGGACACACTAGTCCATTTAATGGAATGAAATATCTCTAACAAGATTCAGCAACTCAAGCCAGCTAAGGCAGTTGACAGGTTTTCAGGGATTGAATTGTTTCATATGGAAAGGGTGAGAAGGAACAAAGCATGACCTGAAGTTGGAGAGAAGTAGCAGCAGGTTTTGGAGGGCCTTGTAAACCAAGTTGAAGATTAATACTTTCTTCTAAAAAGCAACACATAAGCATAGAGAAGGGTAGGCATTGTAGTGTCATGACTGAATGTATTATTAGTATGCTTTCGTGCAACAGTTTTTATTGATAGCACATTCAGATTATTCTCAATTACATTGCAGATTTATTCTTCCTTTTTACCTAAGTTTTGACTCAGTGAGACAGTTTTATAATCAAAATCAAATTGATAGCAAACATCTTTTTTTTCCCCCCTCAGTGTAAGACGTTTTTAATCTCTCATTGAGTTTGCTTGAAATGATTTCAGATATTGACATACTTGCTTTCAGTAAACAAACAAAAATATGAATGTACTGTGACATACTTTGAAAATAAATATTAGTTGATATGAATTTGCAGATACAGACATGTCTAATTTTAAATCCTAGGGTAATTTCATTGAAAGTATGAGAAAACAATGAACGATTTTTTATTATGAATTTTACATGATGTGAATCTAAACCGAAAGTTTTACTAATATTTATATTTCTTAAATATAGTTTGTCCACTATAAATGAGGGAAAATATTGTTCTAGAAGCAAGAGGATAATTTTATTTATTTATTTATTTATTTGGCTGCGTCAGGTCTTAGTTGCACCATGCGGGATCCTTGTTGTGGCATGTGTGATGTTTCATTGCAGCACGCAGGCTTCTCTCTAGTTGTGGCATGTGGGCTCCAGAGCATGCAGCCTCAGTAGTTGCAGTGCAGGGGCTCTCTAGTTGTGGCACATGGGTTCTAGAGTGCACAGGCTCAGTAATTGCAGCGTGCAGGCTTAGTTACCCCACAGCACGTGGGATCGTAGTTGCCCCACCAGAGATTGAACTCGCGTCCCCTGCATTGGAAGGCAGATTCTTAACCACTGGACCACCAGGGAAGTTCCCAAGAAGATAATTTTTTAAAGTGCAAGGTTATTTTTTAAACAGTTACTATAAATAGTGAGCAAAATACACAAGGACATTTCTCATAGAGCTTACAGTCAGTTAGGGTGACAAACATTAATCGAAAAATCACACAAGTATATGATTACAACTTGTGATCAGTGCATGCAAAAAGCACCTGGAGGGCTTCCCTGGTGGCGCAGTGGTTGAGAATCTGCCTGCTAATGTGGGGGACACGGGTTCGAGCCCTGGTCTGGGAGGATCCCACATGCTGCGGAGCAACTAGCCCCATGAGCCACAACTACTGAGCCTGCGCGTCTGGAGCCTGTGCTCTGTGACAAGAGAGGCCGCAATAGTGAGAGGCCCATGCACTGCGATGAAGAGTGGCCCCTGCTTGCCACAACTAGAGAAAGCCCTCGCACAGAAACGAAGACCCAACACAGCAAAAATAAATAAATAAAAATTAATAAACTCCTACCCCCAACATCTTCTAAAAAAAAATAATAAAAGCACATGGAACTTTAATAGCACAGTGATAAGAGATGGGCTATATTCTGGAAGTTGGAGGAGTCTTCCTTGAGGAAGTGAAATTTGAGTCAGTATCTGAAGGATGAGCAAGAGTTAACTCACTGAAGCAGAGATGAGAGAGGGAGGGAGCAGAGCACTCTAGGAGCTGTAAGAAGCCAGTGTCACTGAAGATAGAGTAAGAGAGGTAAATCATGCAGGACAGGACTTTATAGGCCATGGTTAAGAATTTGTTCATTATCCAAGAGCAAAGGGAAGACTTTAAAGAAATTTAAATAGAAGAGAAATATATCAGATTAGCATTTTTAAGGAAGCATCTGATGCCATTTGGAAAATAGCTTGGAGGGGATCTTAGAGTAGTGGCCTGGACTCCAGGAGGAATGCTACAAGGACCAGTCATGAGGCTATAATGGTCCAAACCAGGACATTGATAGCTTGGACTCAGGTGATTGCAAGGAAGATGTAGAAAAATGGACAGATTGAAAAAATATCTAGGAGATAAAATCAGCAGGACTTTATAACATGGTGAATCTACGGGGTGAGGTAGAGAGAGGTATCGGGATGACTCCTAGGTTTCTGACTTGCCATAACTGGTTAGGAGGCTGTGCTATTTCCAGCAATAGAGAGTACTCTGAGAAGGGAACAGGTTGGGAGGGACAAAGTGTGATAAGGAGAAAGCTGGGAGCAAGGTAGACCATGAATTCATTTGGGGAAGATATAAAACGTCCAGAGGTATGAAGTGTAATGGTCTGGACCAAGCCTTTGAAGAGCTCCTACCTTTAGGGCCAGGAAGAGAAGGATGAGCAAGCAGAGCCCATCACAAACAGCATTATAATACATGACAAATACTCTAAATGTTCATGGGGATATTGTTAGTCTGATAAAAATTTGCCTTTTACATTTAACTTTTTCTCATTTATTATTACCTATAACTGATTATTGCTTAAATCTTATTTTTAAAATATGATTATTCACTCTTCTTTATTTTTTCTTAATTTAAGGTGGTTTGTTGGAAGTGTTCTGATTATAAAGCTCAACTTGAGTATGATGGTGGTAAATTGAACAAAGTTTGTAAAGACTGTTATCAGATAATAAGTGGATTCACAGACAGTGAAGAAAAGAAAAGAAAAGGAATTTTAGAGGTATGAAATATTAAATATTGGATATCTTTCAGATTTTTATACTAGAAACATAGAATTTTTTTTTATCTCTGAAGAATACAAATAATATATTTTGTTATTTCTCTTAGTATTTAACAATTTGGACTATGATGAGCAAGATTTATATTTTTGTTCTATTGCTGACTCTCGGGGTCATGCTCAGTTTTACAGAAAGAAGAGGGACAGTGCTATGTTAACCAATGTGCATTTGAGAGTAAATCCAGTCCTTCCTTGGCATCTGCGGGGGATTGGTTCCAGGACCCCTACAGATACCAAAATCCGCGGATGCTCAAGTCTCTTATATACAGTGGCGTGATACAGCCAGCTCTCCATATCCTTAGGTTCTACATCCACAGATATGGAGGGCTGATTGTGTGTTGATTTTGTGAAGGTAGCTGTGGTCAAATATTAGAGTATTAATTGACATCTCTTCTAATGCCCAACTTACTACTGTATATATATTTTTAAGAGGAAAGCTTTTCTCTCAGTTTCATCATATTGGCTTTGAAAATAATGTATGATATTATTAAAATTTAGATTAAAGTCTTATTACCTGAAAAACTCTTCCCACTTATTGCATTAAAAGAATCATTTAATGGCCAGTGACAGTAATCTGAGAACTGCGTTGAAATATTACTGAAATGTCTCACAGGTAAGTTTGATTCATGTTTTAGATAAATTCAGACCTCCCAAACCTAGGAACTGTAATGCGACTAGTATCTGAAATAAGTTTTACACCCAAAGATATTAACAACATAAGTAATAAACTACATAATAAGGGCTTTTTGACAGAAAGTTCAAGATAGCCTGGAAATATGTGAAGAATAGATCATGATCAAAATTCTTATGTATCAAAAAAAACACTTATGTATCTAAAATCATAGACATACTTGGTTTATTAAGAATTTCTACAATTTATTTAAGAATCAATGAGTGTTTATTGAACTCTACACTGTATAAACATACAAAATGTCATTTCTGTTAACTGAAGAAGGATCATAAACTTCAAGGTCCACTTGAGGTTAAAGTACAGGCCCACAAACTATAACTCTGCATTCTTCTAGGATATAGATGTTGCTTGTATGGCAGCCCAGAGTGGACTTTCTCTGGCAGGGAGGGTGGAAAGACATGCTTCAGTAGCTTCCAGAGACACAGTCTCAAAAGACTGAACAGCAGCAATGGATGAGATTAGCATAGAATAATGAGTCAAATAACTTGTTTTAAGGGGTGCATTTCAGGCTGTATCTATGAAATAAAAATCTCTAGGTAGTTTTCTAGAAAAACCTGTACTTAGAGGAAAATTAATCAATTACTTATTAGGTTAACACATTTAATCAAATGTATTTATAGTGTGAAGTCCATAAGTAGAAGATAAGTGTGGATGTGTGCATATGCACACACACATACATATATATTTGAAACTTACTCATGACAACTAGTTTGTTATGTCCTCTAGACCAAGGATCAACAAATTTTTTCTGTAAAAGGGCAGAGAGAAACTATTTTAGTCTTTGCAGGCTGAAAGGCAAAACTGAGAATATTACTTCTAAAACAAGAGAGAAAACAAATTTTCTCAAATTTTTATTGACAAAATTAAAAGTAATAATTTAGTATAATTTTTGTAATATGGTAATAAGAAGTATGGAATTCCTTTGGGGGAGGGGAGATAACATTTCACTTAGTTGGAGTCCAAAGTTTTCGTATTCTAGATCATCAGATTGATTTTAAATGTTCATCTGTAAAAACTCTGCTTAGCTCAAAGGCCATATAAAAAAAGGTGGTGGGCTAGCAGTCCATTGTTTGCCAGTCAATGCTTCTTAAACTATCTGTGATGAAGAGCCAGTTTTACTTTCTAAACCATCACAGCTCAGTATTTTTGTAAAATACACAATTATGTGCTTGGGTATCATCACAAGTCAGATTGCTATAAAAGTTTCTAAAGGCTTACTCTTGCTTTCTGTGCTTATCTCGAACTGGTAGCAAAGCAGTTTGCAAACCAGCACTGTTCAGTGGATGACACTGGATTTGAGAGGTAGAAAATAGATGCAAACCAGTTGCTTTCCATGATATGTGTAATAGAAACCATCATTTAGTCAAAGGGTTTTGTTCCCTTTTTAGCCAGTGATTTACTTATTAGGAGACAAAGAAGAAAACCGTACATGGCTCCACAAAGAGTTATTGCAATTTTAAAAACTTTAAAATTATCTCAGGTATAGGACAAAGGTTGCTGGTAAGTATTTGCCTTTTTGCTATTGCATTCTTACATAGTGATGTTGGTATAGCATTGTGGCTAAGAGTTCAGACTCTGGGTCCAGACTCAAATCCGAGCACACCAATTCCTAAATCTTAGGAAAGCTATTTCATCTCTAAACCTCATAATAATGCAAGTAATAACTTTTTGGTGTTGGTGTGAGGATTAAATGATATAAGTAGTGAGCTAAGAAAAGTGCCTTCAGGGCTTCCCTGGTGGCGCAGTGCTTGGGAGTCCGCCTGCCGATGCAGGAGACGCGGGTTCGTGCCCCGTTTCAGGAGGATCCCGCGTGCCGCGGAGCGGCTGGGCCCGTGGGCCGTGGCCGCTGGGCCTGCGCGTCCGGAGCCTGTGCTCCGCAAATGGGAGAGGCCGCGACAGTGAGAGGCCCGCATAACGCAAGAAAAA